TATATATATATATATATATATATATACATAAATATATTTAAAATTTAAATATGACATGAATATAAATAAACTACTAATGAAAAAAGATTTGAGATATATTTCAAAAATATAGGACATAGAGTAACAAGAGATCATTTTAACCTATACTTGAAGTATAAAAATAAATAATAATATATTTATATACATTATAAACAAAATGAAAATAAAAGATAATATTAATTTATTTATATATTATTAATTTATTAATATTATCGAAGATATTAATCTACAATTAAGTATATATTTTTAAGTAATAAAAATTATAATAAAAAAATAAAAAAAGTAAAAAAAGTAAAAAAAAATTATTTATATTGATTGTAATCATAGCACGTGTTTTAAAAAATGAAAGAAATATTGGCATATACTTTATCGTTAAAACTATACTATTTACTAAGCTGACAGACACGTTATGCACGTAAACAGATTTACAGCTTACCCTGGCATTATTTTCAGCGAAGTATTTCGCTCTTATAAATTGCAGAAAATTTTCAAGCAGAAGAGGGATACAGTTTGAAGAAAAAGCACTGTCACTTAATTAAGAAAATGACATTTTTGATCGTATAATTAGCTGTCGTATACTGTACACTCAGCTTGAATACCTATACACAAATCGTTCTACGAAGAGTGCACTGACTTGAAGCTGCTGCCACTAATAGACAATGCATTGGTAAAAGACATAACAAATATAGCTGGCATATATGCAATGAAATACTGTATTATATATACATATATATATGATACATCTTATAATCAATACAAAGATACGATGTAACGAAAGACTGACTATAGTGCGGATGTAATTGAAAGTGACGGTATACAGTTAGGTTACATTAACTCTTTCCGGTGTATTGACTATTTGGATTTGTTTAACCAGCAAACTTTATTTGATTAAAGCTATGCCCTATATGAAACGCATGAGATTGCTTAGAGTTAGAAATTCTAATTTTGTGTTAACATGCATTATATATCTATTCATGGAAAGAAGTTTATAAATCTAATTTTATATCTAAAAGTTTTTATCATATCAAAAATTTGTTTTATTTTTTATATTTTATAGTTACAATTGTAAATCGTATTGAATATTTTTTTTTTAATATTTATTATATGTTAATAAATTTTTAATAGATTTATTGATTTATATATTTTTCGTATAAATCTATTTATAAATGTTTAAATTATTAATAATAAATTATTTAATAAAAAAACACTGAAAATTTCTTTTTTATAATTTTTATTTTAATTTTTATTAATATGCATATAAATGAATCAAAATAATACTCAAATAATATAAAAATATTTTTATGAAATAAATTGCACTGAAATTAATATTCTACAGATATTTAAAGATGTTCTTTCTTTTAAAGTTTGTTCCAAAAGAACATCAAAATAGGTTATTTTATAATAAACTTTTTAAATTATATGATATTTCATATATATTTACATATCTATCTTGTTTTATTAGTAAAATAAGTGGAATAAAAT